GAATCATATTGTAAGACGTATGCGACGTCGATGTATCTCAAATAACATAACAAGTACCTAATGGTACTAAAGTGATCGCATGTTCTTGCGTATCCTTAAAGTTTTTTTTAAAGTTCTGTTTGGATTTATATATTCTTGACGCACTTACAAATTGAACTTCTTAGCGAAATCACCTAAAAGATTACATAGATATATTAGTGAATCCAGAGGTTACTAATAAATAAATCCTTCCGGTAGTAAACTTGTGTCATAGACTAAATCTACAGCGCCTAAATAAATACTCGCGGTTCTATTTACGGTTATCCTCTTGCCCTTATGCCATTAGCAACTTAGGTGAAAATTGGCATTTCTCAATTATACCTTTGACTTCATAATGGGATATCTCTGTAACCTCATTTATCGACTCAAATACCCTTTATTATCCCGTCAATGCCAAGTTACGTTCTCATCTCGTCGCACTCTGTTCGCTCTACATCTAACAAGTACGCACCAAGGCAGACACCATTCAACGGGACTCTAGCTTTGATTGAAGAATCCCTCAATTGAACTAGTGATAGTGACAGAGAAAAGTTTATGGACATCTGCACCATCAGATGAGTTGCCTACTTGTTGCTAGCCTTTGAGAGTACTGTTTACACGCTTTTTGAAGAACCCCATGTCACGGCGCAAAGGAAATAAATACTTCAGTAGGAAGATTATTCCACGTCTTGCAGGTTCGAGGCAGGGACGAACGTAATACTCGCGTGATCTTGCAATGCCAGGCATCTAAGATGTCAAGACTCTACCCCTTAGGCGAGAGGTGCGATGGTGGAAACGAGACAGTGGCACCAGTTCGAAAAGTTCCTCTGAGCACTCCCCGTTATAAAGACGGCAGAATACACACAGAGAGCCAATGTCTCTCCGTAGACTCCAAAGTTTTCAACCCATGTGACGATTTCAAGTGTAATTTTATTACCTACGAAATAAAGATATTTCATTTGAGACGTGTTCAACTAAACCTGTGTAACTGAAGCTAAAATTTGACTACCGCCCGAAGCTCTATCATTGAAATTCCGCAGCTTACTATAGAGTGATGTTCGACGTCGTTATGTAAAAATGAATAAATAAAGATTGATTTATTTATTTGTTTATTCATTTTGATGAAGATCTCTGTGGTTGAGTGGGTTGCACACCGATTTTCATGGTATGTAAGAAACTACCTTTCTATACCTGTACTTTCGGGTCTGGGTGTTTGTGGTATCGTCGTTGTTTCCGATTTTCATAAACAAATGCTTTAGTTACTTTCTTTGGGATCAGAACAACGTATGTGATGTTGATGTTGTCTAATATTTTGTGTATAAACAGTAATGGAATAATGTTTATGTTTTCTTCCATTTCTTTCGTACTGTCACGTCCTTGCTTATTCCCTTAATACACGCACTGTTTTTCACACGAGCCGTGTGTCTTTTCTTCAATTTCATATTTAATAAGTTTCGAATAATGTTACACATATATCTTCGGATGTCAATTCTCTGAAGAACGGTTTCTTAACAACTTTTGGGTCTTAGCGCTGCTTTCTGGCTTCCTCTCATAATCGATCGCCATTCAATAACCTTATCTAGTCTGGCCACAGTATATTCGTCTCAGAAATTCTTTTGGGGCTATTAACGTTCTAAATTGACAATGTCCGCGTAATTGCTAACACTTTAGGAAACTCAAAGAGATAAAGTATTATTCAAACTCAATTGGCATCACTAAATAATTTATAGCGCGCAAACCATCCTGTCGACTGCTACATTCAGAATCACAGATTCAAAACGCGTAGGTTTTACTTTAGTACTTAAGGTACATGTAATAAGGTTTTGAGATTATAAGATAAATCTCGAACTACGGCAAGAATGCTGTTCTCACGCGTATTCTTCGAAACTGTAAGAACCAATTTAGACATATTGATCCTTTCGTAGATTCTAAATACTGCTTCAAAACAAACGTTCAATATTTGTATGGCCTACAATTATTTATCTTTGAGTTTGGGTGTAATTTGTGGTTCTCTATGTGTGTGTCCATGGCACCCGCGACACAGGGTTTCCCTAGTGCGTGGCTATGTTGAGCGCACACAGCGTTATTATTATTCAATCAAAACTATCAAACGATTAATCAGCAGTACTCAAATATCATTTGGTCATTTGCACAATATATTCAAGGTTCGCAATCTTACAAAATGGTCGTATGACGTTATATATTTCTATATTAAATACATAATGGTGTTGTGTATACATGTTTATTGTATTATATGTATGTATGACTGTATTATGAATATGTACTGATATTCGTGTACTATTTATCTTATTTTAATGTTCTTTTTCTCTCATTTTCTCGTTTGTTTTTCTTTTATCACAGACAGGATTATTTATTTAATTTAATTTAAATTTATTCATTCCTATTTTTGTGTTTACTCTTAATATTATACGTCTATTTAATTGACTTAAGTCAATGGTCTATTTATATTATTTTAGTGGATAACTGTAATTGGCCTATCCAAAAAAGGTAACGTATGTTAAGGTTAGTATTGTATTAAATATGGCTGTTGTTATCCCAAATTAACTGCCTCGGTGGCAGAACGGTTACTATGCCATTTTACGTTACGTGTTACGACTGCCATGCAGAGGTCCCAGGTTCGATTCCCGGGCCGGGAGAAATAGCTGTATGGCCTACAATTGTTTCTCTCGTGAGTTTGTAATTTGTGGTTGTCTATGTGTGTGTCCATGGCACCCGCGACACAGGGTCTCCCTAGCGCAACATAGCCCCATGTTGAGTGCATGCGCTATTATTATTATTATTATTAAATAAAATAAAATAAAATAAAGTGGAGTGGAGTGGAGTGGAGTGGAGTGGAGTGGAGCGGAGTGGAGCGGAGTGAAACGGAGTGAAGTGGAGCGAAGTGAAGTGGAGCGAAGTGAAGTGAAGTGAAATAAAATAAAATATATAAATGGTCGCCAAACTGTAAGCTAACATTTTCATGTTTCACGAGTTTAAGTTTCGTATATAGCGTTCAGAAATGTTCTGTTCCTGGTATAAATTTATCAATAATTGCACAACAACTTCCACAGGGATTGTCCATTAATTTTTCCTTTTGTATGAAAAACACGACAAGAAAACAAAACATGTTTTGTATTCAAGACTGGATTGACGGGACGAACTAGCCGTGCACCTGGTGGTAAGCGACACGCCTATCCATGCAAAATTTTGAGGGGCAACTCCTTGTGAAAGAGTTCGTCCTGGGAAGTACTGCCGCCGTGGTCGCCACCTTATCTATTTCTGCTACCCGGCAGTAATGTGGGCATTACTGCGTTCTAGTTTTGAATGGTAATGGTGCTGGTGGAATGACAGGCACGCGAGACTTGTCAACTTATGTCTCAGGGTGATAGACGCAGTGGCAGTGTCCTTCAGATCTTTGCGATTTAAAACTCTGAGTGACACTGCAACTGCTATGGACAAGCGCGTCGCTTAACACCAGCCACACGATTTGTTCGCTCTGTCACTTGGTTTCATAAAAAGAACATAATTTTTTAAAAAAAAAAAGGAACCGACTTCAAACTTTGCTTATATGTACATACAAACTGAAAGTAAAAACTTAATAATCGAGTACCGGAAAGTACGCCAAATAGGATCATCCCTTAGTTTGCCACCCTTAGAGGTGGAATATTTTCTTCAAATTTAAATGACCAATACTCAAAGTTTTAAATCACAAAGATCTTAGGGGCGATGCCACTGCGCTCGTCATCCTGGAGACATAAATTGACAAGTCGCTTTTGTCAGTAATTTCACCAGCACTCTTACACCTCGAAACGGAAACGCAGTAATGCTCACATTACTGCTTGATGACAAAAATTGGTAAGGTGGCTGTATTACTCAGGATGAACTCTTTCATAAGGAGCTCTATTGTTACTAATAAGCTGGAAATACTCTAAATTTTCTAGGTTTTCCGTTTATTATTTGTCTTTATCAAGCGTTATAAAATAAGTTTATGAAGTAGGTACTCTTTGTAAATCGTCTTTGCTTTGGCGTAAAAGTTTGTGTTATGTACAATTGTACTGTGTTGGCAGTACTCCAGTTTTCAGCACATTTGTGTATCTTAACTGTGTTGTTTCCTTTCATTGTTCTTTTGCATATGTTGTATGCACTATTTGTTAAGTAGGATGGTCGTGTATAATATTGTAATTACTAGAGTTTACGAATTGGAATCTTAAGTAGTGTCTTTAATGTAAACTGTATCGGTAACGCTTTAATATCTAAGGACTGTAAATAGATATTACGTAAAGTATGAATGGTTTTCTTTATGTTTCTCTGAAAATCACCGACACGCCACACCCTAGCTGTGAAAGGGTGTTGAAATACCTATTGATATAAAAAATGTAAAGGGTGTCTTTTTATGTTTAGTGGTAGTTAGGGCGTATATGTGCTCAACTCTCGATTTGCAGTCAGATTTCATATGAATGTATATGTATGATATTGTCTCTTGTAAAAAAACTTTTTCATCTCACTAGCTCGGATAGATTTTTTTCTCATTAGAAATCTGCGCGCAAAAGCGTTTTCAAAGGGTTTTTGAAATTCGAACCTGACGATGGACTGTGGTGGACCTAACTTTTTCTTTCGATTAAAAAAAAACATAATGACACGTTCAACTATGCGACTTGTCGTACATTATTTTATTCTTAATAATGTTGACATTAAATTGACAACGATAACTAATTTTTAAAAGTTTGGTAAAATAAATTTGTTATAGTTCAACTGTTTGTCTTTCACCTACCACTTTCCTAGCTATAGTGAGGTGAAAAGTTGTGTGTTTCGCTCGACAGCAAAGTTGTTTCGAGTCTCGTTTCTTGACACCAAACTTTGCAGCCTTGCTCAAATAAACATTGTTAAATTTATAGAATGATCTGAGGACGGTGAAATAACGATGATCGAAGTGGTTAAAGCAGCGGAGTATTAATAAATTGAAATTGCTATTGTATTCTTACTTGTCCAGGGGCGGGACGGCGTGAGGTGGCGGGGCGCTGGGAGGTTTTAGACTCCTGAAAGCCTTAAGCCATTTGTTTTTCATACTGCCGGCTGATGAGGACGAGAGCTTGCGGTCCGTCGCGGCGCCGCTGTCTGCTTTTGCCGCGAACAGCTCTCTCTGTGAATTAGAATAGTGTTAACAGAAAAGTTTTTAGATGAATGGAGAAACAATGGCCTTGTATTGTCAGATAGACTTTATTATATTATTTATTATTAATATTAATTTATTTCAGGTAACAGCAACTCGTAGCCTACGTTAAACATTAGACTGAATAAATTTTATGTTTAATGAAGGCTATAAAATAAAAAATATGTAATTTAGTATTTTTTTATTTATAATAATGCATCCGTATTTACAAACAATTGCTGGGAAATATAGCGATTAACGTTGCAAGGTAAGTTTCTGTTTTATTGAAATTATTGTATTGTGTCAATTCTTAATAAAAGAAACAGTCAATAAAAATCTGTTTTAAGGGTTAAAAAAGTACAGGGTGGAAAGCACATTAAGCTGGACATTTAAGATTTAAATTCAACTCTATATCGCTTGTGACAAAAATAGTCCAAAGTGTAAAACTTTATGTACTCTCGACTGTACCAAGAAATAAAATTGACAAATATTCTTTATTACATTTTTGAAACGTATCTGCAGTTGTTAAAAAGGTAATTAATTATTATAATAGTCTTTAAAATGTTCAATGTGAGCTTTAAAAATACCAAAGCTGGTACTGAAAGTTAGATCATAAATACTACCTAACATCCAGTAGCCGAGAACCGGTAGTTGCACATTATCAACATATTTTAAAATTATAACTCAAAGGAAAATTCCGTTGCACTTTCCGTCGAGATTAAAGATGAAAGTGACGTCTTCAGTCCCGTATTGAGCGAAGCCGGCGGGACTAATGGAACGACAATTTGTATTAATATTGTGAAAGGATTTCTGGGCGTTAACGTAAATTATTATTTGTCAAAGCGTTAAATTTTAAGTGACATAAGCCGCGGGAAATTTCTATCAGGCCCATCTAATTGATGCTCTAGAAATTGTGACTGTGTAAGTGTTAAAGGTAGAGACCGTTCGGAAATTCCCCGGAGAGTATGACCAAATTCATATGAAAAAACTTACGGGTTCCCAAATGACCTTATGTCTCATAAAACAAGTACACGAAATGGAGGAATGGAGGACAAGAAAATAATAAAGGGTGGAAATAAAGTAGGTAAGTGGATTACACGATGAGAAAATGTCGACCTCAACTTGTAAGTATATTAACCTGGTAAAGAATGTGCTCTAAAAAGCCAGGATACGTCCGGAACAGACGTACATGAATGAAAGGTCTGAAGCGTTTTTAGAGGGTTACAGAAGAGGTCACGATCGTAGCATGTGAAAATTCGTAATTTCTGTCTATCTGACTAAAAATAGAAGTAGCGCTCCCTGTGCAAGAGTTCGTCCAGGGAAGTACTACGACTTTACCTAAATCTGCTGCCAAGCAGTAATATGAGCATTACTGCATTCCGGTTAGAAGGGTAAGGGTGCTGATAAAATTACATGCACACGGGACTTGTTAACATGTCTTAGAGTGACATGCACTGAATGTTACTGCTACTGTCACGGACAGGCGTGTCACTTACCACCAGGTGGGCTTGTCACTTCGGCTCATAAAGACTAAGAGCATTTGGGCACTATGTCCGATTCGTATCAGGGAGTCTACACTCGATCTCCGTCCGAAACAATTACTGCCAAATAAGCAATACTTGATCAAATGAAAAGACGCGTGATGCGAATGAAGCTTCATACTTGATACTTGTCTTTTAATTTTGTCGAAAATTACTTATTTGACAGCAATTGTTTCGGACGGATGTCGGACGGAGATCGAGAGTTGACCCCCAGTTCCGAATCCGGGAAATGATAGTCCGAAATGTCACAGGGATCATTTTATCTCTAGATGTACAAGCGATATTCTTATTTTCTCGGATTCGCATCGGACTTAGTGCACAAGCGACATCCGAAGTGGGTCCGAGTTTTCTAGATTTGTATAATCCCGGATTCGGAAGGAATACGAACCGGATGCAGTACACAAACGCGCTAACAGACGTTATATTATCGGAATATTTGAATAGTATCTTATTATGAATACGATCCATAAAAACTTTACGAATTCGTATCAAGTTGTGTGTCCATTTACGACTTTAGCAGCCCATAGAGAGTTGCGTGCAAGTTACCAAACTATTAAATTGAATCGTAGCTTGTATATTGGTTGCTACTCTGTCACTTAAAATGACGGTATTGTGTCGAGGTCACGATTAGGTTACGGAATTCTTAAACGAATAATTGATTGAAATGTAAAAGTTGGTTCGTGGTAAAAACGAAGTTCTGCCTGATCGTAGTAAATATTGTGTAACGTTAAAAAGAAGCACATCTAACAATTCAACAGTGGAGTAGCAGGATAAACTTTAACGTATAGCCACAAAAGAAAAGTTCCGAAATTGAAACAACCGATTTATTTTGTCCAAGATGATTGTACAAGTATAGCGGTCGCAAATCCCATGTGGTCAATTTTACTTAGGAACAACTGTAGCTAGTAGTCTCCTTTTTATTTCTACGCAATTTTCAAGGGAATATGAACTTTATTCCCTTGAATATATAAATATTACTCTCTGACCTCCCGAAAACATTCAGCGATCCCAATTTTTATTCAAGGTGGAGAACTGTGTGATGCAAATGAGTGATTTACATACCTTTCATTCGACCACCCTTTCACAAGTTTTTGAACTAAATTTTTTCGTCAACAGCTACTCTAAAGCCTATATTACACGTTGACGGAATATTAATTTAAAAAAAAATACTACTGTCACGTTAAGTATAAAAACGAAATGCAAAGTTTTTAACATTCATTCTTTTAATTTATTCGACATTGAAATAGCTATCAGATAGTGGGTATCATTGATTTGATTGTGGGAAAAACATTTTGTGTGGCAAATCAAAATAAAAATCAATTGAAAGATATTTATTTTTAAGTGTAATTTTTAATGTTTATACAATTGTCGTAGCGGAATGTGTTTTAATCAGTTTTAAAGCAATTTGTTTTTTTTTCCGGAAAAAAGCAATAAAATGAATATATGTTTACATAAATATATTTCTGAATAAATTGTCTCCAAGGACTAAAATTATCATGAGGCAAAATGCCAAAATATTACATTAAGAGCTTATTTGGCGACTGAAGAAGACAATAGACAAATCCTAGTACTTATACCAGAATTCCCAAGACATATTGGACATAAAATGGAATTCTGTGTAATTGAATACCCTAGCCAAGTTCTATCGCATTTCGTAAATATACTTACAAGTAAAGAACTTTCTCACAAGAATAGCTACATATGTCAACGGCAATATGTACAATTCAAGGATTCTGTAGAATACCGGGCTTCGCTATGCATTGTAGTTAATATTTTTTTAACTATCAAACTCATTTACGAGGTATTGTATAGAATGCCGGCCGTATATTAGGCAAAGCAGTACTTGAAAGACAAAAATCAAATTAGTAGGTAATTTCTGTTTGCGTTTTCGAGCTGGTTTCAACCCCTTTTGCGGGTTTACATTAGGTTAGTATATAAAAAAGTTGCCAGAACCGAGTTCGTATGCGTAAGCTAAATATTTAATGCTGTTAAATGTATTTAAAAAAACAAAGAAAATGTAATGTACTACCTACGTAAAAGTTGATTCCAACAAAAGAGTTTAAAAATTTATAGTAAGTTAAAGAATTATGGGATTTACTGTCAGATATCAGATATAATCATTTAATATAACAGTTTTGGTTAATGCATTAATAATAATAATAATAACGCACACACTTAACATAGCCTCGCAATGGGGAAACCCTGTGTCGCGGGTGCTATGGACACACACACAGACAACCACAAATTACACCCAAGCTTACGAGAGAAATAAAAGTAGGCCACAAATATTTCTCCCAGCCCGGGAATCGAACCTGGGACCTCTGCGTGGGCGTCCGGCATGGTAACCGATCGGCCACGGAGGCAGGCATTAAACAGTATGTTAAGTTTTATTTGTGTAGCATGCATATTTAGTGTATCTGTTTTTATTGCTACGAGGTGTAATATTTTGTTCGAAAAAAATTGTGATTTTTCTCAAATAAATATCACTCGTAATTTAAATACCAATTCTTTTTTTTATAATATCAAGTGACGGGATGGACAAGTCGTGCGCCTGAAGGTAAGCCACACGCCTGTCCATTACAGTTGCTGTGCCACTCAGTTTTAAATCGCAAGTCACTTTGAGATTGTAATTTGACCATCACCCTTACCCTTCAAAACCGGAATGCAGTAATGTTCACATTACTGCTTGGCGGCAGAAGTAGGTAAGGTGGCAGTACTTCCCTGGACGAACTCTTTTACAAGAAGCTCTACTGCTGCTAAATTCTGATTAGCTACCTCCCATACCATCTCTCACAAGATGCACTATTGTGACACTTGACTGTGCATAAAATATTCTTCTTAACGCACACGCACTTCCTATTTTACCTATATATTGCCTAATGCACGTGCGACATTAGATAGAATACCGGCTTATATATATTGCCGGTACTATATACTTGAGTTATCTATACTCGAAGCGCCCTAGTCAATAAATTGCTGGAAAAACTTGTTAGATAAATTATAATTTGAACTGTCTCCATTTTTAAAGGGGATATGTCAAAATTAGAGAAAAAAGCACGAGGGTTATTAAGGCCACTGCACTAAAACGCAGTTACATCGTGTTCTTGAGTCATTGATCAGATTTTATTCGGGTTAGAGTGAAGGCTATGGAAGGAAACCAGGCCATAAACCCTATAGTTGGTTGACGCTAGAAAGGACGTTGGGTCCCAAAAGACAATACAAACAAGGTGTTGGGATAGCTGAAAAAATAATAAAAATACCTATTAAAATAGACGGAATAACAGGGTACTGCGAACTCTTATGTCGCATTTAGACTTATCTTAAACCGTTACCATTCTTTTTAAGATACCAAGAGACGGGTCGAGCACCTCGTACTCCTGGTAGTAAGCGATACCACCAGCCTACCACGGTTACAGTGTTACTCAGAGCTTTAAATCTCAAAGATCTGAG